GGTATGAAGAATTTGGTTCAATTTGGTTCTTGGTTGGAGTATAGAGTATCAACACATGCTTGTTTTTGCTTGTATTGTTATCTAGTTGATATGGAGGTTGGAGGTAGTGGTTCGACGCAGGAAGCATTTGTCGGTGTGGGGTTCAAAAATTGGCAGAAGAAGGATAGAATCAAAGTTCATGTTGGAGATCATAGGAGTGTTCACAATAAAGGTTATCAAGCTTATCAAGATTTGATGAAGCAAAAGAAACATATTGATATTGCTTTTTCAAATATTTCTGAACAACAAAGAATTGATTATCATATTCGGTTGAAAGCTTCTTTGGATTGTGCTAGATACCTACTACATAATGGTCAGCTTTTTCGGGGACATGATGAATCTAAAAGTTCAAATCAACAAGGTTTATTTCTTGAAACTCTAAAGTTTTATACTAAGCCAAATAAAGAGATGAGTCATGTGGTCTTGCAAAATGCCCCTGATAATCACAAATTGACTTCACCAAAAATCTAGAAAGATCTTGCTCAAGCTTGTGCTGATTTGATTATTAAAGCAATAATTAGTTATCTCAGCAATGATTACTTTTCCTTACTAGTTGATGAAGCTCGTGATGTTGCAATTAAAGAACAAATGGCAGTTGTACTTCGGTATGTAAACAAAAAAGGGTCCATTTTTGAATGTTTTATTGGCATAATTCATGTTTCAGATATTACTGCACAATCACTAAGAGCAGCGATTGATGGGCTATTTTCTAAACTTGGTTTAAGTTTGTCTAAATGTCGCGGTCAAGGCTATGATGGTGCTAGTAATATGCAGGGTGAATTCAAAGGGCTTAAGAGTTTGATTTTGGCAGACAACGATTCTGCATTCTATATTCATTGTTTTGCTCATCAGTTACAATTGGCACTTGTGAAGGTTGTAAAACATCACAAAAAGATTCAAGAATTTTTTGACATGCTTCAAAAGATGGCTACCATTGTGGAGGGTTCATGCAAGCGGAAGGAAATTCTTCAAATGAATCAATACAAGAAAATAGTTGAAAGAATTGCTCATGGTGAAATACAAACTGGAAAAGATTTAAATCAAGAGACAATCTTAAAGCGACCTGGAGACACTCGTTAGGGTTCCCATTTTGGTACAGTTACAAGTGTTATCTCGTTATTTTCTCCAATAATTACGTTGATGAAAATTATTGAAGACGAGCCTAAGAATGATGTTGCAAGAACTAATGCAGGTTGCATTTTGTATGCCATGGAGGATTTTGAGTTTGCATTCTTGTTGCATCTTATGCAACTTATCTTGGGGATTTCTTATGAGTTGTCACAAGCACTACAAAGAAAAGATCAAGACCTTTTAAATGCAATTGGTTTAGTCAGGGTAGTCAAGTCTCACTTACAAGAGGTGAGAGATAATGGTTTTGATGAATTGCTTCAAGAAACGAGCATTTTTGCAAATAAATATGATATTGACATTCCAAATATGGAGGATGTTTATTGTTCTAAAGGGAGATCAAGATGGAGATTGGAATCATTCACATTCTTGCACTACTTTAAGGTGGAGTTATTTAATAGAGTGATAGATACTCAGGTTCAAAAGTTGGGTGATCGATTGATAATGTCAATACCAAGTTTCTTGAGTGTTTAAGTTGCCTTGATCCTCGTGATTCATTTTCTACTTTTAACAAAGAAAAGTTTATTGAGTTTGCTAGATTTTATCCTATGGAGTTTAATGAGCTTACAGATATTCCTTTACTTTATTCAAGTCTCAGTAATTATATTGTTGATGTAAGAGCTGATTCTGATTTTGTCAATTTGAAAAGAATTTTTGACCTTGCTTTGAAGATGGTTGAGAAGAGAAAGGATATTGTTTATCCATTGGTCTATTTGTTGATAAAGTTGGCACTCATTCTACCGATAGCAACTGCTAGTGTTGAGCGAGTTTTTTCTGCAATGACTTTTGTTAAGGATAAGTTGCGCAATCGGATAAGTGATGATTGGTTTAACGCATGCATGCTAACTTATGTTGAACGTGATATATTTGATAAGATTGATGATGAAGATATAATGCAATATTTTCAAAGAATGATTTTGTAATCGTTCTATATGTCATAGGTTAGTTGACTCTTGATTACTATTTTTTTATGTTAAGTTGAAGTTTTATTTTCTATTCTTGTTGATATATAATGAGTCTTGTCCTACTTTCTGTGTAACCTTTTTTTTATTTGGGGTTTGCTTTCAGCTTTTGTGCCTTATTCTGGCTTAAAAAGAGAGGATTGATGCGAGGTTTGACATTCTCAAATGAGTTAATCTCTAGAGATGAAGGTCTTCACTGTGATTTTGCTTGCCTTCTGTACATGTAGTGTTGACTTTTTTATTCACCATTATAAATAGAATGATGATGTATGAATGTACTGGAGTATATTCTCATATTTGTTTTGGAGGATTGGTAAGATTTTTTTGGGGGTGGGAGGGGAGGGGTAAATGATTGGTCAAACTATTGCTTGCAGCTTGTTATGAAAGCAACTAGATTCTGAGTGGGTTCATAACCTTGTATATAAAGATTGTTTTAAACTTTTTTTACAAAAATTAATAATTAAAACAACATTTATATACAAAACTTCATGGGTCCGCCAACACTATGTATGCGAACATAAACAAAACTTCATGGGTCCACTGAATAGAAGGAACGGATATAACATTTACTAAGGAACATAAAGAACTTTTAGCTTAGGATACTTTTTGGAGAATGTTATATTAGGCAAGAGAGTATCGCACAACTAAAAATAGAATTGAAATAAACTACAATGTCAAGTAACTATTAATCATACCAATTGACCAGGTAAGTGTGTAATTGCAACAGTAAGTAATTAAATAACCACCAAATTTAAGGTGGTGTCTTATAACCACTTTTCTCAATATTAACGGTGTAATTAATTTTATCTTAATTTCACCGTTTAGAAAATTAACAAATATGTCAATGGAAGTGACACACAAAATTTAAGTAAAAAATCTAATTGAAAAAAATCACGGACAAGATCAAGAACATTTTCATTAAATCAAAGAAATTACAACTTTTATCTTAATACAAGAAAAGAATAATATCATTTATTACTCTTATATTAGGAGAATAAACTTCACTCAAAACTAAAACTAAAAAGGCACCGAGTTATTTGCTTCTAAGTTTTGGGATGCTAACAATGGCGGGGATAACCTATATTTATAGGTTGAAGTTTATACTTAATTTTGCGCGTTCCCGCGGTACCTCCGCCTTTTGTACATCATTTTTAGCAAATTCTTCGGTGCATAGTAACTAAATTGAGTGAACAGTACATTTGTTCTTTTCTTTAAATTCAGCCACCGAAAGTGGATTAATTATGACTTGTCATGTTCATTAATGCTTTACTAGTAATTACGATATAGATATTATTTTCATCATAGGAAAGAGACTAGCAAAGGTAATAAAAGTAAATCCATTGTTTTGACAATGAGAAAATGTGCAATGAATATAACACATAATTAAAACCAAGATGGTTAGAAAACAGCCAAGCATACCTCAATAGTATCTGTATATAGTGTTAAAAAATAATATAAATCATTAAAAATACTGTCTCTCAACACTTTAAGGTTTTGGATTGAAGTGGTTCTTTACATGGTATCAGAGCTTAAGTGACCGTCACTAGTTCAATTCTCACTGCCCTCCACTTTCGAGTGGAATTAAAATAAGTACAAAGTAAAACCCAAAACATTGAGCCTGTGCAATATCCACACTTAATTTAAGCCCACATGGCTCTTGTGTGATGGAGTGTGTTAAAGAATAATATAAACTATTAAAAATACTCTCAGCCAACACCTTAAAGTTTTGGGTTGAAGTTGTTCTTTACACCTAACCTACCTGAATGACTTGAAACTACCAAGTCCACTCAATTGTTTACTTGCACGGAGAGCAGCATATTGTTGCACTATCACATAGCCTGTGCAACTGAAAGCCAAAACTTCACATTTGGCAAAAATCTGGCTTTCTCACTTCTAGTGTACATAATATATTTGAAATAAATGCATTGAAAATGCATTTGGCAATCACATGGCAGAATAGATTAATTCATATGCTTTCAAAAATTAACTCCAAGACCTAGACTGTAATCTCCCTTTTAATTAATCTCAAAGGAGGTCCCATTATTAGCTTTAGAATGGTGCCTAGGGAAATTATTTTTATTATAATTGGATCATAATATCAGAGTCTAAAGAATGTTGCAGCCATGACTTTAACTACTAAATTATCAGTGCTTATTTCCTTCGTGTTAGGATTGATACGATTCAGGCACTCATTATACTTAGACTGAAACTGCAATGAGAGAGAAAAAAACTTCACTAAAAATCCCTCTCTTGTTTATATCTAACTATAATGAGACATGAAATATATCAGGGTAGAATGATAAACAAATACAAAATGATATCAAGAATATACAGTGTTTACAACAACATCCATAACCATTTTAGTATCTAAATATTGGTTTTGGATGTGTTTTGCTGTATTATGGCATCATTAATCACTTCAGAAATGTTGAATAAACAGCCAATTTTTCCTCCATTCCAAGAATCTTCTTAGCATAGCACTTCTTTCTTCTATATTTCACCACTTGCTGGCACACACTTAAAATACCACATTTTCGGTTCACCTTTCCCTATTATTTCATTATGAAGTTAGGGCTGGCGGTGAGGGAGGGATGGGGACAAGGACTCAAATCCTGGCCACAAATGGAACCTTGATCTTTTCTGGTTAGCTAAGTCAAGTCAACCCAATATCATGTTATTAAATATCTAACAAAATTATCACATAATAATAATAATAATAATAATAATTATTATTATTATTATTATTATTATTATTACCCAACTTCACCGCTGAGCAAGCAACATGGACGTGTTTGAAAAGTCAAAACTGTCGGAACTTTAATTCCTATGAAGGTGGATTGAAAATTCTAACTCAATTATTGGAAAGCAACATTGGAGAGGGAGAAGCTGCCAAGAAGCAACGCCGAAACAGAAACTCCGATAGCTTGCATGTGGAATATGTCTTCAACTCCCAAACCACAACACACTTGAGTCTAAGTTTTGTTTTTAATAATTGTTCAGTCTCCACTGTTTCTTTATTTCGATAAACATTTGTTCTTGGATTGCAGCTTCACAGTAATACTGACAGAAGTAGTGCACAAATTATACATCATCCTCTACAGGTTTGCTTGTGCTTTTGCATTTGCAATGGCTTGCAAGAGCATCCAATGCAGTTCTTCATCTCAGATGACGTGCAAATATGATGTGTTTGTTAGCTTCAGAGGAGAAGACACACGTAACAACTTCACTGATCATCTTTTTGCTGCTCTCCATAGAAAAAACATTGTTGCCTTCAGAGATGATACAAAGCTCAAGAAAGGCGAATCCATAGCACCTGAGCTCCTACAAGCAATTGAAGGCTCTCGGATCTTTGTTGTTGTCTTCTCAAAAAACTACGCTTCCTCAACATGGTGCTTGCGTGAACTGGCAAAGATCCTAGATTGCGTTCAAGTATCTGAAAAACGTGTTCTGCCTATTTTTTATGATGTTGATCCGTCTAAGGTTCGAAAACAAAGTGGGAGTTATGAGAAAGCTTTTGTTGAACATGAAGAAAGATTCAAAGAAGATTTAGAGATGATGTTGGAAATGCAAAGATGGAGAGGAGCTCTGACACAAGTGGCCAATCTCTCCGGTTGGGACATACGGGATAAGTAAGTAATCCTCTTTGATATTGACGGTTTATGCATGTGCAACTACTTGTTTAAGCAAATTTATGGTTTTCATGAATGATCTTAATTTATGTCACTCTGATATTGATTGTTTCTTACTGATTTGGTATTTTTTTATTTACTTCCCATTCTCAACTAGAGTTGAGAGATAGTACTTTGTAATTTGTTGAAGAGGTAACACCTAAATGCGTCCAGATTACATGCTTTGTGAAAGAGATTTAAGTAGTCAAAAGAAAAAGAAAAAAAAACTGTTATCTTGTCTTGTATATGCACTTTTTGTTTCGGTTTTCTTAGGTGTTGATATGATGTTGATTTTCTTTAACTTTTCAGGCCACAAAGTGCAGAGATTGAAAAAATTGTTAAAGAGATAATAAGTATATTGGATCTGAAAATTTCAAGTCTTCCAAAAGATCTATTTGGGATAGGATCTCCGATAGAAGAATTGGAAAATCTTTTACACTTGAGCTCAGTTGATGATGTTCGGGTTGTAGGAATTTCTGGAATGGGGGGAATAGGAAAGACAACTCTTGCTACTGTTTTATATGATAAAATCGCTCATCAATATGATGCTTGCTGTTTTATTGATGATGTAAGCAAAATTTATAGAGATTATGGTCCAATTGGTGCAGCAGAGCAACTTCTATGTCAAACTCTAAATGAAGAGCACCTTCAAATATGTAATCTTTATGGTGCAGCTAATTTGATACGACATAGGCTGCGAAATGTAAGGGCCTTTATAGTTCTTGATAATGTTGGTGAAGTTGAACAACTAGAGAAATTAGCTGTCAATCGTGACTGGTTAGGTGCTGGGAGTAGAGTCATAATAATTTCTAGAGACAAGCATATCTTACAAGAGTATGGAGTGGATGTGATTTATAATGTTCAACTCTTGAATTATGGTAATGCACTTAAATTGTTCTGTGCAAAGGCTTTCAAAAGTGATGATATTATGAGAGATTATGAATGGATGACATATGATGCAGTTCGATATGCTAATGGCCTGCCACTGGCAATTAAAGTATTCGGCTCATTTTTGTTTGGTCGAGATATCTCTGAGTGGAGAAGTTCATTGGCTAGACTGAGAGAAAATCCAAGCAAAGATGTCATGGATGTGTTGCGAGTAAGTTTTGATGGTCTCGATGATACGGAAAAAGAAATATTTTTAGATATTGCTTGTTTCTTTGACGATCAGTATGAGAGATATGTAAAGGAAATCCTAGATTTTCGTGGATTTCATCCAGAAATTGGTATACGAGTTCTCCAAGATAAATCTCTCATAACCCATGATCATTGGGGGAGAATTCAAATGCATGACCTGTTGAAAGAATTGGGCAGGAGTATTGTTCGAGAAAAATCACCTAAAGAGCCAAGAAAGTGGAGCAGGTTGTGGGACTACAAGGATCTTCAAGATGTGGCGTTAGAAAATAAGGTAAACTAATTTTTGAATCTAAAATCCTAGGTTGCCATTTTTCTATAATCTATAAATAATTCAAATAATCTAACATTTTCTTTCTTATTTGCAATGGTTTAGGAAGCAGAAAATCTTGAAGCCATAGTAATGCCAAAGTATCCTTCATACAAGTATCGAGAAACAACAATGAGGGTGGATGCTCTATCAAAAATGAGTCACCTTAAGTTACTCATACTTTGGAATATGAATTTTTCAGGAAGCCTCACTTATCTATCCAATGAATTAGGATATCTTTGTTGGGATAAATATCCTTTCACGTGTTTGCCATCAAATTTTCAGCCAGATAAACTTGTTGAATTGAAACTGCCAAACAGTAGCATCAAACAACTATGGGAAGGCATAAAGGTACGGTAAATCAATAATCGTTTTCTATTTAGTTTTTGTTTAGATGAACATATAATTATCTCATGTTCTTTCCCATGTCTCTGAGAGCATTAAAGTAACATAAGAAAGCTTAAAGGTCATTATTAATTTTGTCTCCTACTATTGGCCCTCCTTGCAGTCTCTACCCAAATTGAGACGGATGGATCTCTCCCACTCCAAAAATCTTACGAAGATGCCGCATTTTGGACAGGTCCCTAATCTTGAGAGGCTGACACTTGAAGGATGTATAAAACTTGTGCAGATCGATCCGTCCATTGGTATTCTAAGAAAGCTTACTGATTTGGATTTGAAAAATTGTAAAAATCTGGTCAGTATTCCCAACAACATTTTTTATCTCAGTTCTCTCGGAACACTAAATCTCTCTGGCTGTTCAAAATTATTTAAGAATCAGCTGTTAGAGAATGCAAGGCATGCAGAACATTTAGAGAAGCTTGATCTGAATGATAGTACTATCCAATGCCAGTCAAAGTCCTCCATCTCTAAAATTCTAATGTTGCCTATCCGTGTTTTCTATTCTCGAAGACAAGAAGGGTCAGTTGGTTTGTTGTTGCCTTCTTTGCCTCGTTTCCCATGTTTGTATGTTCTTGACCTGAGTTTCTGCAATCTACTTCAAATCCCTGATTCCATTGGAGGGTTACATTGTTTAGTACACTTAAATTTGGGGGGAAACAAGTTTGTTACACTACCTTGTAGCATCAAGGAGCTTTCCAAACTTAAATTTTTGAACTTGGAGCACTGTAAGCAGCTTAAATATTTGCCTGAGCTTCCATGTTTGGTGAATCTTGACCTAAGTTTCTGCAATCTAGTTCAAATCCCTGATGCCATTTGGGGGTTACATTGTTTAGAAAGATTAAAATTGGGAGGAAACAATTTTGTTACACTACCTTCTAGCATCAAGCAACTTTCCAAACTTCTATCTTTGAATTTGGAGCATTGTAAGCAGCTGAAATATTTGCCTGAGCTCCCACCATGTACTGTCTTGCCAGAAAGAAGAGGATATCATGCAGGATTAAATATTTTCGATTGCCCCAATCTGAGTGAGATGGAATGCTGTCATAACGTGGCTTTTTCTTGGATGATACAAGTCCTTAAGGTGCCTACTTCATCTTTCCTTTTTCTATCTCTCTTCTGCTCTCTTTTTGTGTGTGTGTGTGTGTGAACTAATACATAACTAATTTTTGTGGTATAAGGTGCTCATGCAATCCTCCCTTCCCTTCGGTAAGATTGACATTGTTATTCCCGGAAGTGGAATTCCAAGGTGGTTCAACAATCAAAATGTGGGTAGTTCAATAAGCATTGATCCATCTTTCGTTGTGCATGACGAAAATTGGATAGGTGTTGCTTGTTGTGCAGCATTTGTGGCACATGATGATCCAATTTATTTGAGTGATAGAATACCACCTGATTATGATCCAACTCTTAGGCTTGGTTTTCAAAATAAATGGGGTGGGATATATCCCCACATTCCGATACATTTTGAGAAAGATCTGGTCACTGTTGAATCTGATCACCTCTTGCTACACTTTTTCACTCGGCAAGAATTCATTGATAGCTATGTAAATTATTTAACAAACAGATCTGATGATCTTGATGGTATCAAATTGGCAACCTCTATTGAGCAGCCCCAAGGTTTGCATTTGGAGGTGAAAAGTTGTGGGTATCGTTGGGTATTTGAGGCGGATCTGGAGCAATTGAACACAAGAATGATGCATGGCAGAAATTCGTCGGTTCGGAAGAGCAAGTTTTTAACAATGGATAGTAGCAGTTCCATTTCGGCTACACTTCCATTGAAGAAATTTTAATCCATTTGAGGTAATACTTGATATAGCAAGGCACTATTATTGTTATAAATTTACAGCTAGTTGTCATGATTTCAAGGGAGCAAAAGGTAAAGAATGATACAGTTATCATAGAGTAGAAGTTTCTAACACTGATCCATTTTTTAGTTGAAAAAATTGGGGGAGTCTAACTCCTTTTATCAGTTTATGAGAGAAAATATTCAGCATTTCATTGGAAAGAAAGGGTAGCGTACTTCAGTTAAAAAATAATAATGGTAATCTCAAATATCATATGAAATATAAATACCTTAACAGTCTATATCATTAAAAAGAACTTACAGATTACAAGAATTATAAGTATATAATAATGTGTGCAAATGTTTTCAGTCGCTATAACACCCTGTTTAGCACCCTCACCTTCTTCAAAAGAAAGTTGTGAAGCAGTCTCAAATAATTATAAAGTTGATTTTCGTCTCCAACTATATGGAGCTAAGACTTATGATGTGAGAACAGTTACTTGGACTTGGAAACATCCTCAGTATCTTATAAATGGACAACAAAGCAAAATTACATAATGAAAATTTAAAAATGTTTTATAAAGAACTTAGATAAAAGAATGACAATAAATTGGGTAATGGACCTAAAAACAGGTTTTATTTGGTTAAAAGAGACTTAAAGTTGTAGATATTGAGGGACCTTATGCTGACTATCTTGAAACCCTGTATGGGATTCCTTTTTTACTTACAGGGCCTATATTATCAGTGTCACACACCTCCACTTTAGAAGTTTAATCTTGTTTTACCCAATATAATTGATCAAATCATCGATGCAAGGATTATAAGCAGATTCCTAAGACCAGGTGTTGAAGGGAAGAACGGCAAAGAAGATGCTTGATTGGTTCACGAAAGAGATTGTCTGCAAGGCTGTGTAGACTGTGATGGGCAATGAAAGTGAAGTTGATAGCCAGGTCAGAGAAAATCATACCGAGTTGGGAAGCCACATACTCATCAAAGATATGGAGTCCACTTATATTGATAGTCTCTGTCACAAGCTCCAACATTTACTGGGGTGATTTCCAATTTTCAGCCACGACAAACAATTCAGCTTGAATTCATGTAAGCTTGGAGGAGTACCGTTTATTTAATGCAAAAGAAATTGCTAATATTGAGAGGGAGAGTATCGTGCAGTTTGCCAATGTGGTGGATGATTTTGTTTAATTTTCCACCTATACAATAGTAATGTCTACCATATAGCGCTTTTTACCTCCATTCTTTACTTGATTTATTTCTACCATTTACATTTCTGATTTTTGCATGATTTAGTAACACGATAATTCAAAACAACAACACAATGCATTTCTCTACTTTTTTGTATTTTTCTTTTCTTTTCTTTTTTCATAGTCACCTCCCATCAGTAATAGATTTTCTATTAGAATTTTCTAGATTAACTTCTAACATACTAGCTAAGTGATATAGTGATCAACTAGTCATGTATGAATCGTAATTACTTCCATTGTGGATATAGTGGATATACTTAAATCATATCAACAATGCAGTATGCTCAGATATTTTAAGCAAAGCAGACGTCATTTTCATTCCAAAAATTTTATACAAAACTTTCGGTTACCACTTTGCTGACTATAATTATGCGTCACTGGTGACGATGTCGCTAAAACATGGTGTTGCAGTTATGACAAAACGAATTGCACCAATTGAAACATCATAGTTCTTCAAGGATCAAGTGATTAATAAACCAATGTAGTTTTTTATTGCATAAATGTTACACGATATTTCATTTTACTTGTTAGAAACAAAAAACTGGACTTGAGAATTCATAGACTGCATATTTCTTAAAGACTTGCATATGACAATCACAAATGTGACTCAAGAGTGTGTGAGCGTGCGACAAATATTACTTCAACCCAGTTTACTACATATGAAGTATGGCTAAAATTAGAATTTAGAATCACCCCTACTCAAAAGTATTTTGAGTGCCTCAGCTTACCTCTCAAAATAAATATTAATATCATCAAAACTTAAAACAGAAACACGTGTAAGTTAAAACAGTTCCATTTTGTTATCAAAAAAAAAACCAACAAAATAACATTGTTTTCTTAAATGCAATTTCGCAAGAGAAATTATGTTCAACTTAATTACGAAGAAAAAAAAAAGTGTAGATGAAATGCAAAAGATGGATAAAAAATTCATGCATTCGCCTACGACAATGTTGATCAAGAACTAGGACTCCTGAGTGGATGAATCAAATAAGTTTACCACCTAAATAACAAAATCACCCTGTAGTATTAAAAAAACATCACGCTTAAGAGTATACTAATCCATTGTTGTTGAAATTAAACTTGCAAATATACCTACTAAGAGGTTATGGCTAGAAAAGTTTGCTCGTTACGCCACGCCAAATTCTAGTATTGTAGGATGAATTACATTATACAAAAGTTGCAAATGAAGAATTTAAACCACTGGCGAGGCAATCCGATTTTATTTAAAATAATACAAGCATGACATTACTCAAATAAAAAGTTCAACATTCCCACACTACATAGAACTTCAACACATTCAAATTCAAACATTGCAACAATATATACTAGCTACAGACCACCTATTACCAACAAAACAAAGTAACTTTTCTAGCTACAGACCACCTATTACTCAAAGCTTAAAAGCCACCACGAAGGCGAAGGACAAGATGAAGGGTCGATTCCTTCTGAATATTGTAATCTGCCAATGTACGACCATCATCCAATTGCTTGCCAGCAAAAATAAGTCGCTGCTGATCTGGGAGAATACCCTCCTTGTCCTGGATCTTCGCTTTCACATTATCAATTGTATCAGAACTTTCCACCTCCAATGTGATAGTCTTCCCCGTTAGGGTCTTCACAAATATTTGCATACCACCACGAAGCCGCAAAACCAAGTGAAGAGTAGATTCCTTCTGGATATTATAATCAGCAAGGGTACGTCCATCATCAAGCTGCTTCCCAGCAAAGATAAGCCTCTGCTGGTCCGGTGGGATGCCCTCTTTGTCCTGGATCTTTGCCTTCACATTATCGATGGTATCAGAACTTTCAACCTCCAAAGTTATGGTCTTCCCAGTTAAAGTCTTAACAAAGATTTGCATCCCCCCACGAAGACGTAGAACCAAGTGCAGAGTGGATTCCTTCTGAATGTTGTAATCAGCAAGGGTTCTTCCATCTTCAAGCTGCTTCCCGGCAAAAATAAGCCTCTGCTGGTCTGGGGGAATACCCTCCTTGTCCTGGATCTTGGTTTTCACATTATCAATGGTATCTGAGGATTCCACCTCCAAAGTTATAGTCTTTCCAGTCAAAGTCTTCACAAAAATTTGCATGCCACCTATAATGACCCTAAATGGTAAATCTTAATTAGAGATTTAATCTAAGGATTTAAATGCCATAATTAGATTTAGTGAGTGATTCCGAGTATTTTGACTGTAATCATGACTATGTTATGAACAGTGCGTTCTGCCGGAGAATTTACAGTTTTGTGAATTAACCGGTAGAGCTTAAAAATAGCAAAATAATTTTAGAGACATAATTTGATAATTCTGAAGACAAATATGAGTTCAGAACGAAAAATTGTACAGTCTGGCACTTTCCGTGAAAATCTCGTGAATAGTGTTTCTACCGGGTATTTTGTACTGCTGTTTAAGCAACCGGTAGAGTCCAGAAATAAATACTTGATGAAATAAGAATAAGAAAGTCCAATATATGCCAAGCAAGTCAATATAAGCCCAAGAAAATAATAAGTTTATAAATTCTAAGTTCAGAAGTGAGCGAAGTACAGTTAGTGATTCACAGTGCATTTCGTCAAACACGGTGCAGAAACCATACTGTGAATTATGAATATTGTTTTGTAACAAATAAAAATTAATGTAAATGATTTTAGAAAAATAAAAATATGTTCGTAGTTTTAAGTTAGTTCCGGGTCAATTTAAGTTAAAATACGCGATAGAAAAATATCTATTAAAAAAGGCCACATGTGCTAGCCTTATAAGTGACTTAGTCTCATTATCCCAAATCAGTTTCTCTCTCCTCTCACCCTCTCAAAACCGAGCTGCACCATTGGAGAAGGGGGGTAGGGTTTTGAATTTCTTCTCCTTGATTCTCCATCTTTTCTACTCCAAATTCAAAGACCCACCACATGAAATTGCTTGTAAAACACCCAATGAACCCATTCCAACCATCAATTTGAGGTTTTGTTGAGTGTGTGAAGAGTTATCCTCTCCTTCAAATTCGTGCACTATTCATCAAGAGGGCAAAAATGAAGTTTTTGGTGGAGATCCTTTTGGTAAAGGACTTCTAGGCTTTGGGGTAGTTGTTGGAGGTAACAAACCTCTATTCTCATGATGTTGTCTTGATTATTTTAAGTTACAAATTGATAGATATGTTTTGATGGGAGAGTATTATGAGTTAAAAATTGATTTGTTGATGAATCCTTGGTACCTTGGATGTAAGTAATGAAAAGGAGCATTTTAATGCATGTTAAAAGTAGAGAAAAATCATATGTTTTCCCTCCTTATGTTCGGCCTTGATAGGGTAATAAGAGTTATTGTGCAAATTATAATTGATGTATTTGAGAGGGGTTTTATGTGTGCAAGTAGGTGAAAATTATGATGGATTGTTGTTGGTTAGGAAGGATAGTGTTAGTAAGCATCAACTTGTGATAAAAAAATTGAAAAGCCCTTGTGCACCTTTCCCCTAGGTTTCGGCCTTCATGGGTTATGTAGGGTTCATCATGCAAAATTTTATTGTATGTTTGAAAAGGTAAAATATGTTGGAATGTAGTGTAAATGGATGAATTGGTGGAAATGTCAAAGTTGGAAAAAAATCCTACAAATACTTGCTCTATGTTTCGAACTATAGGATGTTTAGGGGTGTATATATATTGGTTACATTTTATTCTAATAAAATGTGTTGCATTTTAATATACCAATGGATGAGCTAAGAAGTGAAATGCTTTGACAAATGGTTGAAAAATACCTTCAGTCCCTAAGGATATGCCGCGACTTTTAAAGAAAAATAGCATGATTTATGTGAAAAATTCTTAAGTAAATGCTTGATTAAATTAAAGAACGCCAATGGGTGTATAGAGGTCTAGACTTGTGTATTGGCATAGAATTGGCAAAAATATAAAGAAAGGAAAATAAGCGATAAAATGTATGCTTATGAAATAATCATGGTATTGCATCATTTTATTGATGCATTGTAAATTATTCTCTAGGTGTGCCTAGGGATTTAGAAGGATCGGAAATCTCTTGAAGCGATAAAAGTAACTTGTTCCACAAGTAAGCGTATTGGTAAAGCTTCAAGAGGTAAGCTCTATGTTTAAGGAGACTTTTCCTGCTTGAGTGCTCCACCATGGTTAGTGAACTATGGTTGGACTGTATGACTGTGATTTAGATGCTTTGTATAGATGCATTCATATAGAGTTATTTGATAACATGATATGTTTTGCTCTGATATGACTTCTGTAATATGATTTCTGTAACAATCTCTGGCCATTGATTGTATAGTACCCGGATGTCCGCTTTGGGGTCCTCCCTCGGGACGGATGGTGTACGCCTCTGATATGTCTGGTTCCGCTTTGGGGTCCTCCCTCGTGAACACGTGCGTTGATTTCCGCTTGGGGTCCTCCCTTGGGAATGACGACGCACACCTCTGATATGATATGGATAAATCCTCTATTCTGTTATGATATCTGTTATATGTTGTATTCGTATACTCTGTATCTGACTTTCGTGCAGGAGTGAGCCAGGGGTATGGAGAATTCTCTATAAACCTGGAGCTTATTGAGATTTGTAATCTCACCCCTCTTTGGGGACATATTTTCAGGTGCCCAGATTCCCGGTGAGTCCTCACTAGGCAGGGACACGACACGTGGCTGAGGCAGTTGACAGATCGGATTTTGAGTGGCTGTAGGCTACTACCTTTTGGAGTGTTTGATGTCTTTTAGTATTTCCGCATTTGATGGATCACGATATTGATCCTTTATTTTGTATATGGCCTGTATATGTTTTGTACATGTCTGTCACTTGGATGCATGTACATTTGGGTATTCAGGCACGTTATATGATGATGTATTATTCAGTTTATGATTTTGTATTGGATTGCATGTTGATTAGGATAGTGGCACGGAGCCATATTTTGCATGCGCCCATGGATGGGTATCTGATGGTATCTGCATGACTGGTACTTCTGGATTACTATGCTGTATAAACTGTTTATCAGGAAATGCTTCTGAGTGGGATTGGAAAATCCCCAGTTGTCCGATTTATAGAGGAAACTCTGCCCGATTTTCGTTTACCCCGAGTAAGAGTTAAAGTAGAAAAAGAAAAAGTTAACTCGTATTTTCGTAAGTTAAGTCTTCCGCTGTTTTCTGTTTTATCATATGTATGTTAATTGAACCGGCTCGAGACGGGGATGTTACATTTATGGTATCAGAGCAGTTTCTCTAGGAGAGCCTGTGAAATATTGCATGAACTGTTCGGGTTGTTATATTCTTGAGTTTTTCTTGGAATAATATGATATGCATGTCTGATCACCGAGTGTGAGCGTAGCTAACTCATTCCTTTGTGTGAAATATGCAGAATTATGGTTCGCCCAAGAAGGACTTCTGATCCTCCTATTGACCCGACCGATCCAATATTAGCAGATTTGGCAAGACCCCGACTTAACCAGCGGGGAAATACTTCACAGCCAGATCCAATGATAATGGCCTTAACTGAGATGCAACAAAATATGGCTGCAGCTAGGCAGCGAGAGCTTGAAGTGATGATGAAAGCAAATCAAGATCTGTTAGAGGCTAATAGGTTGGCCAATCAAGAAATCATGGCAGCAAGCAGAATGGCGAATATTGAAATGATGAGATTACTCTTGGTTGAGGTGAGGGCGGGTGGGCAAGGTCCACAGCCACAGCCTTTGCAACAGCCACAACCACAGCCACAGCCTGAGCCACAACCACAACAGCCTGTTCCTCCTCCTCAAAATCCCATTGTTGTGGAGGGTGAAGGAAATAATGATGTGAATGAAGAATCTAGTCACAGGGGTGGTGTGGCACAGCCAGCCACTAATAGAGAGCAAAGAGAAATAATGCTAAATGCCTTCCGAAAACATGCACCACCAAATTATAAAGGAGGCATTGATCCTATTGCTGCAATTCAGTGGTTAGAAGAATTGGATCGCATTTTTACTGTCATGGAGTGTGATGATCAGCAGAAATTGTTGTATGCTTCTTATATGTTGCAGAATGATGCAGCTGATTGGTGGAGAAATACTCGTCTGCCCTTGGAATGTCAGGGTTATGCTATTACCTGGCCTTTATTTGAAAGGCAATTCTTGCTGAAATACTTTCCGGCTGAAGCCCGAATAAGGAAGAAGGGTGAATTTGAAGAACTAAAGCAGGGTCAGATGTCTGTTGATGAATACTTGAATAAGTTCAATAAGCTGGCCAAATACTCTCATTTCCAGAGAGCTCCACCTACAGAGGATGACTTGATTTTTAAATTTCATAGAGGATTACATGATAACATCTCTGAAAAACTTGCAGGTGACTCATTTGATACTTTTGCTGCACTTGTTAAAAAGTGTAAAAATATTCAAGAATATTACAGAAGGAAGCATAAGGACCAATCTGCTCCTAATTCTGGTCCTAAAAACACTTCTGGGAATCCTAAAGGAAAAGGGTTGCAGGTTAGACAGTCTGATGGTAAGTTCAAAAAGGCGGGAAATTCTAAGCCTGGAAATATTAAGCCTGCTTCTCTATGTGCTACGTGTGGTAAAGTTCATGCTGGGGTTTGCAGAAAAGAGCAAAGATTGTGTTACAAATGTGGCCAACCTGGGCATTTTATTAGGGACTGCCCCTTTAATGGGGGACAGGTTTCTACTATTCAGGCCACTCCGGCTCCTATTGTGGTGGAGGAACCATCTCTACCTCTCCCACCTCCAGTTGCCCGAGTTTATGCAGTGACTCAGCAAGAGGCTGAGAGGTCAGCTAGTTTGGTGCGAGGTATGATTTCTATTCGTGATGAAATGCTTAGTGTTTTGTTTGATTCTGGTGCCACGCATTCTTTTATTGCTGATTATGTAGCTGAAGCATTTGGTCTGCATGTGATAAAAATGAAAACTCCTATGCGTATTGTTACGGCTGTGGGAAGAGTTTTTAATGAAGACTATGTTTGTGAAAATGTGAAATTCAAGTATGAAGGCAGGGAATATTCTGCCGACTTTATTGTCTTGCACCTTGCTTCTGTGAATTTAATTCTGGGGATGGATTGGTTGTCCAAGTACTGTGTGAAGATTGACTGCTGCAGTAAAACCATTTCTGTCTCATCTCATGATGAAGAAAAGGAGTCTCCTTATTTG